GTCTTGGGCTTAAAATTTGGGGGGCTGAAGTACTACCTACCCCCTTTGTGGGTTTGATGGTGGGCAGTTTTTAAAACAAGAGACATGTAAGGAAACTTGAGTTTTGGCAAGGTCTGCAGTTTGGATTTCGGAAGAAAGAAGCAAGCTTCACCAGCATCACCTGGGATTGTTTTTGAATTTGCCTGGCTATCTCTCCTCTCCTTCATCTCCTTCCTCTCCTTTTTCTATTTTTTCTGATTTGTTTCTGGTTAAAAATGGGCAGGGGTGGCAGGTGCTTGTCTTTATTCTAGGTGCATTTACTAATTATTTTGCCCCCCCCCATTTGTCTTTATTCCAAGTTCATTTTCTATTCCTACGTGGACATTAGTTTTCCAATGCAACTCATAAGGGCCTTGGCTGGAACAAAGAAGCCAGAAAGCCCGCCGAGCCACCTTGTTTGTTTGCATCCTTGCAATCTTGACACTAAGACGGCAGTTGCATTTGCAGTTGCGCGCTTGCTTGCGTGTGGCTGACATGTTTATGTCTGTCTGTGTGTCTGTGTGTCTGTCTGTCTGTCTGTCTTTATGTCCGTCTGTCCGTCTGTCCGTCTGTCCGTCTGTCTGTCTTTCTGTCTGTCTGTCTGTGTATTTTTTTATTTATCAAGCTCCTGTGAGTCGTGCTCCAAAGTTCCGTGCTTGTCACGAATTCAACGCCGCGACCCTAAAAAGAAGCGCCGGCCACGAAATCAGCACTCCGTGCCCCAAAGCGCTGTGACCCTTCCAAGCACTGCGTTTGCCACGCACATCGAGTTGCTGCGCCTGCCACACAAAATTCAACGGGTGCCTCTCCAAAGTGCTGCGCCTGCCACAAAATCAGCACTATGACAAACTTTAGCTCGCCAAAACGAGCCGATTGTAAGACAGGGCAAACAGAAATAACACTCGCAAACGCTTGCCACCCCTGAGGCGCACATCATACTGGCAAGGCGGCGCAGCGAGCAACCTTCCAAATCACTGTGCCTGCGCAGCAACGGCACGCAACCTCGCAGAAGCTACGATGCGCGCACAGGCGCAACGAAAGCAAATCGCACATTCTCAGTCTTCCGCAACGGCACGGCAACTTTCCTCACCTGCGATCGCTGGCGAGCGCTTGCGAACTTTGCAACGTATTCGGGACAAGAAGGGGGACGCCCAAAATAAGATCCTGCTTCCGGCCCGCTGCAGCGCAGCGTTTGTTTGATCGCCGCTCAGTCGTATCGATGGGAGGTGCCTGCCTGGCATCGCCGGCTCTTTGAGGAGAAGTACTGCCAAGGCAAGCCGCCAGGTCGAGGCTTCTCTTTGTGAAGAAATGGCTGTACTTGTCAAATCCAATGGGATACCATTTTGGGGTAGGTGAATTCACCACCCATTATAGTCTGTTGTAGTGGGGATTGGGATGTTTAGTGGGGGTATTGGATTTTGACCCATGGCCTTGCTGGTGCTCAGCAGGGAATTCGGGAATGACCCTGATCAACCATCCAACTGGTGGTTTCCTTGAGGACCCTTGCCTTCGTTCCCTCACTCCCGGGCCGCACCAGGGCAAAAGTATAGGATCCCTTATTTGCGCCAGCGAAAGAGCACTTTTACCAGCTGATTACTGGTGTGTGTAGAACTAAGGGGTGTGGCCCTCCTCTACTTCCTCCGTTGCTGGGCAAATTTCATGGCGACCTCAAAAGCGCTTTTTGCAACCTTGCCCATCATGAAGGCTTAACGTTTTTTGTCATAGGGATCTCTCATGTCGGTTGGTGAATGATTACGAGGCGCCAAGCATAACATTGTGGATGTTGTGTGTTTTTCTGAAAGAGGCAGCAACGTGGAATGCCGCGCATCCCAAAGCCCAGTTGGATTTGAGGGTCACAGGCTTGTGAAGACCGCCGCTTGGAGTTTTGATGAAACATGTTGTGATGCCTAGATTCATATGTGCTTGTTTCAGCTCACAATGGGTGATTGCCATTTTTGCGACATGCTTCAATTGAAGTATCAAACATCAAGCCAAACGGATTCATTTGGGTCTGTGTTGGCAACGCGTTTCTGACCGGTGCTTCCACCTGAAGGCCTTTGCAGACTGAGGGCCTTTCTCGATGACCTGTGGTCGAGGGGCAACGGATCCATCACGTCGGACGTCTCGGGAATGGATTGGAGTGTGGGGTGCCTCGCGGCGATTGACGGATACTACTGCTTGCTCAACACAAGCAACGTACCGGACAGGTGCAAAGGGGTCGGTTTGTACCTCTACCTGGAGTATCATTGGATGATCAGTCTACGTCATCGACCAGGACGTTCTTGTGCAAACTGTGCACGGCATTGTCCAGACGGGCGACCCACGGACGTTCCAGGACGATTGGCCCGCTTGTGCCCAGCAACGGGACGCCGTTTCTTGCCGCAGCCTTTGCATTGGACACCCTGCCAGGCAATGCCCTTCCCAACAAGCAGCCCTCTCCAAGCAGATTGTTTTGATCGAAGATCCACTGGTTTGATGCATGGGGGGGGGCTTTACACAGTGGGCAACCAAAGCGGGAGTGCTTGTTCTGACCAATCCACACAAGAATTAAGCTACAGGGCCCATGCATGTTTCCATCGTCTCGAAAGGACAACCCTGACGTGCCATGGAAAGTTGCACAAGCCCCAGGTTGTTGGGCGCCTCCCAGGTGCCCAAAGACCTGGCAAACAAATGGATCTCTTTGCGTTGAACGTCCTTGATGCATGGCCAGTAGCAGCCCCGTTGACGATGTCCAGGTTCTGCATGCAACACATGTTCATGGTTCGCAATTGGGAATTCCAGGCACAGGAATGCACATATTCGCTGCATATTCTAGGCAAATACTACGGACGTCGAACACAATGCTCGCGACCTCACCCATGATGAAGGTTGGTTTCACCGGAAACCCTTGTATTTGGAGGGTAATTATTTTGAATTGCCGTGATTATTGGTTTGTTTTGTTTGTGCCCAATGGTTTTCCAACTAAGTTCGCAGGACTACATGATATCAATACATTTACTTGACTTTCCATTCAACACACATCTACATGCAGTAAAACCAGATGCCTCGAAAGATGGTGAGACTTTGGGCCCCTGCTTCCCTGTGGTTTCGCCGCGTCAGTGACTGACGCCTCGCAAGGTTGCTTCCCAAATTGCCTGTGAACCAACCACCCAAATGGACATACCCCAAAATTTAGTGGTTATACAGTCATGCATGGGTTCCGCAGGGTGCATACCCCAAAGACATCCCTATGTGTTGCCTATGGCAATGAATGTGGTATGTCCATTTCAAATATCACTCAGGCACATCCAACCTGTACTTTGCGGTCAAGTTCCTTGCTTGTTTCCTACTTGCAGTATGTAGGGCATCCACTCGATTCAGCATTTTGGGAGCTTGACAGAAAAAATGACCAGGCCGGGCAATTGATTCATCTTTGTTTGATTCCGCCTACTAGTGATATGTTTGTCTCTGGCGTGGGGATCCTTTCCTATTAGGGGTGGCGGGATTACATGGTTTCCCTGAAGGGTTCTTTACTTCCCGAGGTAACGTGGGGGAGGATGCAATCGCGCCTCAACCATTTCGGTTTCGCCTTAAGTCTCCTTGGACATGACTCTTCAATTCTTAGCTTTTGAAACGGTTTAGCAGAAGGCTACTTTACCAAAGGTGACTTGGAGGAGACAGGCGAAGGTTCCGCCGGGCAAATCTGCTTGAAACGGCCGTAGTTTCCCCCAAGCGTCCATGAGAGTTGGGATATGGTGTGTCCACAAGCAGGAAAGCTCGGGCTCAAACAAAAGCGAATCGGTTGGCACGCACATTCGCTAAGTCAAGTTTCGAGGTTACTAGCAATTGCCGATGTAGCACTCATGCCCCCAGTTATATGGCAATATATTCTGTAGAACATCGCCTTCGTGGGCTGCTGAGCATCTGGATTTGACAAACCGGTAGTGCTTTTGCTGAACATGTGGGACCCTTAAGACACCACCTGCTCGCAACATCACGGCGAAGCGAAGTGTTCCCAAGCAGATGTGTTGCCATACCGACCGTTGAGGCAAACGCATGTCCTTTGGCCTTCTGGTTTGCCTGAATAAGGCTTACCCCGAGGTCTTGGGGTTTGGTCACCAGTCGCTTGTTTGGCCCCAGGCACTTATGGCTCGGAGTTCCTCATCCGTGAGGTGCAGGCTGGATTTTGAGTCCCTCACATGGTGGCTCCGGAGGGGGTGGGGTGGGGGGGGGGGTTGGTCCCCCTCCTAACAATTGCCACACGTCCAACTGGAAAGTGGGCACAAAGAAAGTCATGTTTGATGGGGCCTTGGAAGGGTCTATATCAGGATCAGCTCATAACAAGCAAGGCCTTGGGTTTTTCAGGCCATAAGATGTAGGGCGCCCAAAGCCACGCTGACCGATGAGGGGGTGATGACGAACCTGTTGACGTGGATTGTTTCTTCTATTTTCGTGGGGACCTTCTTTGTTTCGGACCCCCAATCTGTATGTTGGGCCCGCAACAGGCAACGTGGAGGTCCCCCCTTTAGGTACTGTAAAAGGGGGGTCCCATGAAGCTCACGTCATGCACTTTGACCATTTTAGTCGCAAACTAAAAGTTCGGACTCTTTGGGCCAGTCCACTCAGGAAGTGTGTGTGTGACTTGTAATTGTACTATTTTTGGGGATGTGAGGCAAACAAATGACAGACAAACAAACGGAGCCCACAAAGACTTAGCAATAATGTTCAGACACTTTGCTATTGGCTGTATGACTTGCAAACATTGCTCGATTCTTGCCAACATTTCCAGAGTTGATCCCGTAAGGTCGTACCCGTCCGAACATCAGGACTTTTGGAAAAGTTGGGGTTGCAGAATGGCTCAATATGGTCTATCACTGTGAAACCGCTGATTTCGGAAGGGCAATTTGAGCGCGTTGGAGGAAGCGCCCGATTCGATCTGGCAGGCCTTGAAGAGTGGCACGGCGCCGGTGCAAGAGGTCCAGAAGGCGATTTGGCACCGCGAGGCCATGGGATTCAGAAGGGGCGAAGCCCAGAGGTAGGGTGGAGTTGCTGGGGTGGCAGTTGGAGTTGCAAGTTGGGGTGGGGTTTCCCTTCTTGAAATCGAATCTATGGGGTCTCTGCCAAGGCGTCTAAGTCCGCAAGTTTGAAAGGCTCCTTGGAATGAGGGTTCGAGGAGGTCCGCAAGAGAACACATTGGAAAGGGTTGGGCGTGCCATGTCCAATGTGTTCAGGTTCACGAACTCTTGGTCCCCTTTTCTTGCTGGTGCTCAGCAGGGAATGAGGGAATAACTCGTAGAACCATCCAACTGGTGGTTTCCCTTATTCGGGATTCCCCAGGTTCATTCCCTCATTCCCTAGTCGCACCAACAAGTTTTCAAGGGACTCCGATTTCGGAGGTTGCATCAAACTTGAACGCGCCCACATATCATGCTACACTAGGTGAAACACATGCTCGGAAATAGACCGGCTCCAAGTGGTGAGAGCGTCAGTTTTCTTGGCTGCTATTGGCTGCTGGATTGGTTGCCGATTTGCTTTGTTGGTTGGTTGGCTGTCCTGCTGGTAGGTGGGTAGGTCGACAGGTTGGTAAGTTGGCAGGTGGGTAGGTTGGTTTTGCCCACAGCAGGTGCTATTCAGCTGTGCCGGCGGCGTTTCCTGGCTCAGACGCCGGAGCAGCGCCCGCGGTCTCCCCCGGACTCCCGGGCGCGAGCGCTGGCGCCGTGTTTCCACGGCCCGCCATGCCGAAGACGGTCCTGGGCTCGCTGGAAAGCCCGATGTGGCTGGTGAAAGTTACCGACTTCCTGGGATTCAAGGTCGCTTTGGGGATGGTGGAAACAACCAACCCTTGCTCCCCCTTAAAGATGACCACAAGGGTAGAAATGCGTTTGGGTTGGTTGGAAAGGGCATCTGAGATATCAAGGCAACCGTTGGCGGTGAGTAGATTTGTGGCTTGTGGGTGAATCCTTAAGGGTCGGATTCATCAGGTGGGGGTTGATCCACCTAACCGAGGTTTGCCAAAGCCAAGCCTAACTGGGGTGTTCGCTGGGGCTGCTGGGGGGGGGGGGCTGGGGTTTGGTGCTTGGTTTTCATGAGAACGAGGGTTGCTCCGATCACACGTATTTTTTTCACACAAGGGTAGACAATACGATTGGTTTCCTCTAGTTGCCCTTCCCCAAGTGTCATCAACAACTTAAGCAAGACACTTGGTGCTCAAGAGGAAAGAAAGGGAGGTTCATGAAGGACTAGTTGTCTAAACCATTCCCTGTGGATCAATCCCAGTTGTTACTTTAATAGGTTACCAGGTAACTAATTGACCTTTAAGTGTTGCATGGTGGTTTCGACAGATTGTGGTCACTGGACACACTAGGATGGTGTAAAGGGGCTGAAACGCCCAACTTGGATGCTCAAGCTACTTACGTAGTAGATTATATCCACGGCGATAAGAAGATTCCCGCCAGTTATCCCAGTTGTAACCATGGCTTTAACTTGCTTACCAAGTTGTTTGAACATCAACCATCCAAAAAACTTGTGGTGTCCATGTTGGTCTCTTGACCAGACCTAGACCCCCTGCAGAAAGTTAGCTTTTGCTGGTTGAATGCGAAATTGCTGGTTGAACATCCACCCATCCCTGCAAGGAGATGCTCCACCACGAAGATTTGATGGTGAAGGGCTTGCTCTTCCGGCACCAGGAGCGATCCGCGGTGTTTGAATGTTTTTAGCACGGAACGCGGCGGATAAATCCGCCATCCGCAAGATGTTTACCTTGGGATGGTGTTAAAAAGGAATCTAGAGTCTCCATGGCAACCCATTTTGGGGTCAGAAGGAGACTCCAGCTAGTGGCTTTCTAATAGGGATTGTGGATTCAATTGTGCCAACGCTCCATTTTAACCAGCCCAGTTAAAGGGAAGCCAAGGGGAATCTGAAGGGGGAACTGCCCCACGGATCATTTCTTTGGGGTATTCCATTATCATTGAAAACACCAAGGGGAAACTGAAGGGGAACTGCCCCACGCATACTTTGTTTGGGGTGTTGAAAACGCTGGCAGATTGACATGGACCCTCCTTGGAGCAGCATCTCCTTTGGGGCCTTTGTGGGGGTTCTTCCCTTCTTTTGCCGACAAGTAAGAAGGGGTTTACCACATCTTCGTGCCCATCACTAGAAACCACTAATCAGATCCAAAAGTCTGGCTTGCGCCGCATGGCTCACGAAACCTGAGTTTCGTTTCGGACTTTCGTCACTTTCTGGGCTTGGTTGCCATAGTCGGAAATAACAAAGTTTGGGAGCTTATATAACCTTTATATATATATATATCCAGTTGCTTCTGGGGGTAGTGGTTTGGGGGTAGTCAATGTAGTCTTCGAAGCTTTTTGTTGGGCCATCCGCTCAAAAAGCGAGTTTGGGGAGGGGGGGCTTGGGAGGGGGTGAGTTTGGGTGGGGGAAGTGTGTGCTTTCCGAAAGCAGGAGGGCTCTTTCTGCATTTTCGTGTCCCACCAGTGGCTTGGCACCGAGCATCCGGACCCCAACGGCGAGCAGCTGCCGGTGCTGCAGCAAGCCTTGGGCCAGCTGCTGGCGGGCTGTGTGCACATCCGCCCCGACCTCCAGGCAGCTTCTTGTTTGTTTGTCATTTTTGGAGCCTTGGACTTCCATTTGCTTAACCATATGTTGTATTTTCCTTGGTTTTAAAGGGAATCTATGACTACTGGACATATTTCTTTCAGGGGGCGAAAAAGCAAATGGAAGTGGAGTAAATTCTTCCCCTCTCAATCAATGAGTTGGGATCTCAACTTTCCCAATTTGTTGGTTTTCTTCAAAGGGATCCATTTCTTCATTCCCAAAACCGCTGTTGATTCTCTGAGAACCAGGAAATGTGGTGCGCCTGGTTTCAGCTTTTTACTTTTGGCTGGGAGAAAGACAAGGAACAGGCCTTGTGGTGGGAAGCGATTGCAATATGATGGGAGTGGAACCAGTATCCTGCAGCCCGAAACAAACGAAACAAGTGATATCTTGCGGGGCTCTCAACATGTGGTCATTTGGAACATGTTGTTTGCTCCCATGTCGCAGTGCACCGCCCCACTCTACTTATTGCCGTATCCAGAGGGAAGCCATCACCTCAGACTTACTTCCCCGATTCTTTTGCAGCCGCCGGGCCCTAAAAAGAAACACACAGCAACCCAACCAACCCAACTCCCCCTACCGGGAGACCCTCCCTCGGGAAAGAAACTCCCTCACCACAAGATGCAACATCCCCCCCACCCCAAACCAATACATGGGTATGGATCAAAAATAGGTACCCCAAGTGGAACTCTGGCAAATGGAAACAAGGACTAAAACCTGCTGTCCCCTGGTGTAACCCACATGGAAGGGGGTGACTACCCTCAGTGGGGCATTCCCCAATTCGAGGCCAAGTGCTACTTTAGGAGCTTCTGACCTTCCTTTGCCGCTGCCTTTTTCGCCGATTGTTTCGGCCGAAAGCCGTGGATCCTTGAGTTCCAGGCGCAGTTCTACAGATTGCCGGCGCGCTACGCTGAGAAACAGCGCAGACAGATTCGAGATGGTTACATCTGGCTGGACTGGTTCAGCATCCCTCAGGCACCCTGGTGATGCTGAAAGGTCCACAAATCCTTCATCCGTTGTTCTTTTTTTGGGGGGGAGGGGTGCTGGTGATTCTTCAAGGTCTCCATTTGCTGTGCTGTGTTTTCTGTTGGGCGGGAGGAGGCGGTCCTTGAAGGTATCCAGTTGTTCAATGTTGCCTTCTCTTTGGGGGAGAATGAGAATACAGCTTCCCGTAACTGGGTTCGACTTAGGATACATCTTGGAAATTTTACCAGTGACTCAAAGGGAAGCAAAGAATAGAAGATACATTCTACTGGGCCCAGGTCTAATCATGGTAATGTGCCTAGAGCTTTTAGGCCGCGACGGAAAGCAGAGGGCGGGGAGAAACCTCCGAGCTTTGTCGCCTCCTTGCTTCTAAATGAACGTCTGCGAGGTGTTGTCGCTTTCAGTTTCCCTAAGTTTCCTCTTGTTTTTTTTGAATTGTCCCTTTGGGCCTAGAAAGCGATGTCACCTTTTTCCCCAGATAGCTGAAAGCTATGGGGATCTAACTTCTAATAAAGAGGGGACAGTTATTTGCGAGATTGACGGCTGGGTGCTAGGGGGTGTGCTGTTTTGGGGTGCTGGTGATGGGATGCTACACGCTGCCATGCAATTTGAGGTGCTGGTGCAGGTGCTGTTTTGGATTGCTGCTTGTGGTGCTGTTTGAGGTCCTGGTTTGAGGTGCGGGCGCAAGTTTTGCATTGACGACGGGTGCTATGAGGCACGCAGTTTGGGGTGCCGGTGCGTGCAGCTCTGGGGTGCTGTTTGAACTGCTGGCGACGCCGCGGGCGCATTTTTCTTTTTGCGAGATTGACTGCCTGGGCATAGGGGGCATGCAGTTTGGGGTTCTGATCCAGGAGTTGTTTTTTGAAGGGACGGGGACATTTGGACCATTTGATTTCAGTGTGTCTTTGTTAGGGTACCCCGTGCTATTTGCCTATTTCACGGCGAGCTCACTTGGGAGTAAAACGAGCTCATCCTGTAGGTCGCATTAGAGTCAGTTTTTAGGATTTTTTCCAGAGTTGTGGGATTTCCAATTTCTACTTGGGTGGTCGGCCAACATAGTGGCTAGCCTAGGTTATAATTGACCTGGAGCCTCCAATGACCCGAATCAATGGTTGGAATTCTATGACTCTAAGCTTTTGGGGTAAAACCCCGTTGGGTTCCGAAGGAGCCGCCATGCAGCAACAGTCCCTGAGTTCCGTTGCGGACAGCCAATGCACTCCTGGGGATTTGTCGTCCTGAGGCCGACGACTTCCAAAAGTTGGAGCTCCGGCGTGATTCGAGCGGCTCCTCTCAGCTCGAGCTGAGCAGGTCGACCTCCAGCTTGAGCCAGGGGGAGGCCTATATCCAGAGGCCGGGCTAGTGGGCCAGTGGGTTGCTTCCCTTAAACAAAAGAAGAGATCCGATTTTG